CAAATTAAAAATGGATAAAAGTCCTAAATGTGCAGCTAAAACTTTTATTAAACTCTTGGAAGGAAATGAAATAAGCTTCGTGATACTAAATTTCAAAACTAATTTCTTAGATGTGATACCAAAGTACAAACAATAAATGTAAAAATAGATAACTTGAGCACCATTAGAATCAAATATTTCTATGTATCATACAACAAACCGGCTGAAAAAGCAATCCACACAATGGGAGAAGATTATTTGTAAATCATAAATCTGACAAGGAGTTAATATCCAGACTACATAGAGAACTCGAACAAAGACAAAAGGCAAAACCACAATGAACACAAAAGACAAAGTTACAAAGTAACTGAAAACCAGGCAAAGGACTTGAACAGACATTCCTCCACAAAATATATCAATAAGCATAGGGGAAGATGCTCATCATCAATAATCATTAAGAAGGTGCCAATCAAAACTACAATGAGATTTTCCTCACAGCCCTCAGAATGGCTGCTGTTAGAACACTGTTAGACAAGGGCTGGGGAGATGGCTGTATCAGTAAAATGGTTGTGTAACACTCTCATATAAAAAGCCAGGTATGCTGGTACATGCTTATAATCCTAGCACTAAGGAAGCAAAGACAGGACGATCCCTGGAGCTTGCAGCCAGTCAGTCTGTCCAAATAGCAAGTCTCAGGTCCCAGTGAGAGACCTTGTCTCAAAAATCAAGGTGGATAGCTGTCCTGAGGAACAACACCCAAGGCTGATCTCTGGCCTCCACATGCATATGCACAAACATTTATATGCACCCCCCCATGAATCTTCAATACACATGCACATCAGCATGCACTGACATATACAACCACCAGAAAATAAACCAATGTTTGAAAAAATGAGAAATTAGAGCCCTTGGCATTGGTGACAACGTAAAATTGTGTAGCTGCTATGGAAAAATCATGTGTCAGTTCCTTGAAAACATTAAAATGGAATTACCATATGACCAAGTACTTCTATTTCTGGGTATCTGCCCAAAGGAGATGAAGGCAGGGACTTGAACAGAATTTGAAGGCCAATGTTTACAGGCTCATTATCACAAGAGTCAAGAGGTGGAAGGAGTCCAGATGTCCACCCGCAGACCTACAAATGCAATGTGGTTCAAGGAAGGAAACTGACACGTGCTACAGCATAAAGGAACTTCTGAAACATCATACTAAGCTATCTGAGTAGTCACAAGGATACAAACAGCATGACTTCTCATTATCTACCAGTGTCAAAGTCATAAGGACAGAAAGTAGACCCAATAGTTACCAGGTATCAGAGGAGGTAGGGCTCAGAGTTGTTGCCAAAGAGTACAGGGTACAAAGTTTCAGTTTGGCAAGATGAAGAGTCTGGGATGGTGGGGAAAATTACAAACAGCAAATGTGCTTCAGGCCACTGAACTGCGGGTTTATGTATATCTTTCCATAATATTAAAATCCAATAATAGTAAAGGGCTGGTAAGGCACAGTAGTGAATTATGAAGGATACTTCACTTACAAAATCTTGAAACCAAACATTAATTTTTTTGTTAACAGCATTGGTAGTTCTCTTTTAGAGGTATGAAAATTGAAGAAAGTTCCCATTCATATCACATTATGAATAGGGCTTAACTTTCAGTAAAAGATCTTATTTCACTTTAATAAAAGAAAACAGCGAGAGCTAGGGATGTAGCTCAGTGGTAAAGCGCCTGCTTAGCATGAGCAAAGCTTGGCTAGTAAATAAATGTAATCTATCACATTTCTAGACTCTCAGAAAAACACAGGCCACATGACTAAGTGAAAATGTACTGGTGAGCTAAAGAAATGACTCAGTAGATAAGAGCACTTGCTACTCTTGAAGAGGATCCAGGTTCAGTTCCCAGCACCCACATGATGGCTTACAACTATCTGTAACTCCATTTCTAAGGAATCTGATGCTTTCTTCTGGCCTCCACAGGAACCAGGAGCACATGTGGTACACAAATATACATGAAGGCAAACATTCAGCAGCATACTT